CACACAGTCCCTCATGGTACTTGCTGGACTGGACTGGGACTGACTGGACCGTACCGCTGACTGCCTGGGGACGCACTGCTAACCTACTGCTATCGCACTGCGAACGTACTGCAGTTGGTCCACCACTTGCCCACTTTCCCAGTTGCCCACTTGCCAACTTGCCCACTTGCCTCAGTCTAAAACGTGAGCAAGCTGCGAAAGGCCACTTCCGGACCTTCCGGAAGTCTGTGGACTTGGCCTTTCGGGACTGTAGCAGCTACGACCTTGACCTCTCAGGACTGTAGTAGCTACGACCTTGACCCTTCAGGACATCTACAGCTACGACTTCTGGAACTCCCTAAGACCTCTACTCGACAGGTCTACAGATCGAATCCCTATGTCCACACAGTCCTACGACAGAGGAACAACTCACGAAACACCGGTCACGTGTTCAAACACTCAAGGGTCAACTCGATACTGTACATCGGTGAGGTAAGGTCTGGGGGTCAAACCCCGGGATCTGCATCTGCCTCTGCAAAGGTGAAAACCGTTTCACTCCCTTCGGCCTAAATTCGAGGTCCTCCGAGAATGTCTCAGTCCAAGGCAGGACCTTTACCTTTCGTATCTCTTTCGTAGGCCCTGACTATGTCGGAGCTGTTTCTAGAAGTTCAGTTCTGGTAAACCAGCGGCCGTCTTCCGGTTCCTGATATGCAAATCGAACCTTGTACTGTTTTTGAGGATGACCTCTACCTCCTGTCCTGAATATATCTTCACCTACAATGCCGTCAATGTCGTATCTTCCATCCATATCCGGAGGGATCATGGACTGGACCTTCTGGAGGGAAACTGTTGACTTGTAACACACGGCAATAACTTTGATGCGTGACATACGGGGTAGGTGTGGAGGTGCGCTGGAATCTCTACTGTATAGGACGGCCCATGCTCTCCGCCCTTTTGACCCAGACTAAGTCGCCTACTTGAAACTGTGACGGGCGACGATGCTTATTGGCTTGCCCTATCATCCTATGTTGGGCCTTCCTGAGGTTCTTCACAACGGTAGCTAACTCCTCGTGCTGTAACGCAAACTCCCTAGTACCGAGCGGTAGCCTATGAATCTGATCCCGGTTAAGTCCCTCAAACGGTATGCGTGGCCTAAAGGACTTGTGTAATTCGTTGGGAGTGCGACACGTGGACAGGTGCACGTTGTTATTGTAGGCACTGGCTACCTTTGGGAGCATCTCATCCCGGTTGGTCTGATCAGGTCTAATGTACATTCTCAGAACTTGCTGTAGGAGCTTATTCATTTGCTCAGTCTGACCGTTAGTCTCTGGATGACGGTCGGATGACATCAACAGCTTGGAGCCATATACTCTCATCAACTTCTGCCAGTTCTGACTAGTGAACCGAGTGTCTCTATCGCTAACTATGGACAGCGGAATCCCGTGTTCACTGACCCAATGATCAAAGAACTTATGAACTACTAACTCTGTACGTGCCTCCGCAGGCAACGGAACAAAAACTGCATACTTGCTAAATCTATCTACTATGACCATGACTTGGCTCTTACTATGCCTACTCTTGACGCCAGTGTCCATGAAATCAATGGATACTGAATCTCCGGGCTGGTCAGGAATAGGCAGGGGTCTGAGAAGACCTAGAGGGGCACGCGTGGTGGTCTTATTCCTCTAGCACACTTTACATCTGCGGACATATTCTATGCAGTCATTCTTCATCCCTGGCCAAGTGTACGCGCGCATCAGATTGGCTAGAGTCTTCTGCCAACCGAAGTGTCCCTCTGTATCGTGACATTCCCCTAAGATCAGGCTACGAAACTCTTCACTGTTGGGGACGCACAAGTGATCTACTACATCAGTCTTCTCAAATAACAAACCCTCTGTAGTGCGGTAATGTGGTTCAGTCTCTAGGGCCTCCTTTACTCTCTTAAGGAGGTCGCTATAGATAGGATCCTGAGCATATGCCTTTCTGACATTCTGTTGCAGGTCCTTCCCTATATCCAAATAATGGACTATCGCCCCAAAGTCGTCTGACCTCCTACTTAGAGCATCCGCAACTACATTGTACTTGCGCTTAACTGGCTTGAGCCCAAAGTCGTCTTGGTCTATCTCGGCGGCCCACCTAGTCAACTTAGGTGTCATCTTGGCCTGCGCCTTCAACCACCTTAACGTCTCGTGGTCTGAATAGACTTTGAAGTGCCTCCCAAGCAAGTAGTGCTTCCAATGTTCTAGTACTTGCCTGAGAGCGTAGAGTTCCCTCTCGTAGGTGGATGTCGCTACCTTCTCTGAAGGCATCCTAGCAGACATGAACTCTACGGGTCTATAGCCGTTGCCATCGTCTTGCTGTAGTACGGCACCTATACCATACTGGCTCGCGTCAGTGGTAACAACGAAAGGTAAGGACGGGTCGGCGACCTTAAGAACTGGATACTCTATCAACGCGTGCTTCAACGTTTTCATGCCAGACTTGCAGTCCTTATCACACTTCCAGATTGTTTCTTTTCTTAGCAATCTGCAAAGGGGTGCAGCGATGGTGGAGAAGTTTCTCACAAACTTCCTGTAGTAGTTCGCTAGGCCTAAGAACGATCGCAACTCTGTCAGCGTGCGGGGCGTAGGCCAATCCCTAATCGCTGCGATTTTGCTATCCTCTGGCTTAATGCCGTCTCCGTCTAAGACCTGGCCTAAGTACAAAACTTGGGTCTTTGCCCATTCGCACTTCTTCCGGTTGATCTTGAAGTTAGCTTCTCTCAGCTTCTCCAAGACCTGTTTCAGATGACCCTAATGCTCTTGGAGGGTCTTGCTGAATACTAGAATATCATCTAAGTACACTACTACAAATCTATCTAACCACGGCCTAAACAGGTCATTCATACAACATTGAAAGGTCGTTGGCGCGTTGGTTAGTCCAAAGGGCGTGACTATAAACTCATAGTGTCCATACCTAGTCCGGAATGCGGTCCTATACTGATCATCGGGATGGACCTCTATCTGATGATATCCGGACTTCAAATCTATCTTCGAAAAATACTTGCATCCCTGCACCCGGTCTAAAAGATCATCTATACGGGGCAGCGGCTCTGCATTCTTCACTGTGATAGCATTAAGACCATGGTTGTCAACCGGATGTCCGGATCGGGATCCAGACGGTCCGGTCTTGATGTCCGGATCCGGTGTCCGGTTGGGCCCCATTTTGAGAAAATTCGAAAAAGAAAATTGGGGTCCCCAGGCAATTTTCCAGTGACTGGTGGACCCCCGAAAATTGTTGGCACAGTTTTTGGTGGACCTTTGGGCCAACCGGACTGGCCCTGAAGGGCCTGTACTTGCAATC